GTAATGTGTCACATACACACTGAAGCTTTGATGATGATCTCTTCTAATCATAAGACAAGCTATCAGAGTAAACAATTGCAAAGACGATGCCAAGGTTAATTCAGATGCCATTGTAAAAATCATTTTCATAATAAATGCTTCTCTTCCCTTAATGTTCTTAATCTTGTGCTTCTGGTCATTGGATAGTCTTATTAGGTTCTTGATTTGTTGTAAGACTTTGTGCAGCTTTTTCTCAAAAACTGTTTACACTGGTTATTCACTGGAAGCTCAGCCTAGCCCAACTTAGGTGTAGTGCACTCGACAGCCCGTATGTTTGTTCCGTTTGTCTCACTTGTATGTCACTTTCGACCAAATGTCTGCTAAATAAAAATGTAAATAAATGAAAAATGGTTTAAGTACTGCGGTTTAGATTTTTTTATTTACGTCTATCCGCATCGTTGTTACTTCAATCTAGCAATATTTATGTTAGCCTCCCGTAGAGTTTATTTACCATATAAATTACCAGGGGGAGGGTCATGTGCTAAAGCGAAACATTTGGTGTAATTATGGGGGCAGGCAAGGGGTACAAGAGACCAGATGTCGACCAGAGAAATGGCATTTACTCCGCGCTACTTGCTCTGCACATTATCAATGGACGCGCGTCCCCGCCCCCTGAAAGCTCGCCTCCTGCAGTTACAACCCCCATTCATATTCCAGCGTTAAGTCGGCGGTGCACAGCAGCGCCCGTATTGTAGGTTCCCAACGGCAATCAATGCTCTTCGTTTAACCATACCCCTTTAGCGCCCGCCCGTCGAGGATTAAACCAGCATGAATATCGAGCATACAAAAGACGGGCATCCTTAAGCGAACAAAAAAAGCCGTATTAAACCAATATTCTTTCAGTACACGACCACGTAAATATTCCCACCACCCACAGAACTATACCAACTACCCTGACTTCAAAGATTAGGCTAACAGATACATTACCCATTCATTGGCTTTACTATGATGGTACATTCGGTTCTTTATAATCAGCCTACCTTTTATTGTAAATAGTAAGTCCTACACGTCAGAGACAAACACGCTCATTGAGCGCAAGTCTGCATCGGGACTAATTACACAAGTATACAAAAAAAAAAAAAAAGTGCCAAGGTTTTTTCAATAGATTTTGGGTATTTTGTGGGTGCTGAATTTAAAAATCACATTACTTTTGCTGAATTGGTTCTAGTTTTTGAGATAATGGACATCCATTACAATTATGCATTCCCCCAATGCGACTTAATTGTGTGTGATAACAAATGCAATAGCATTTGGTCTGTCTTTTGACTTTTTAACAGTGTCTTAGGTAATGAAATGAATGACGAAGCGTTGAAGGAGAGTCTGAAAATAAAATTAGAGTAAAGTTCACATGTGCGTGTTTGTATGTTCATTTATTGCTGTTGTTACTGTGGTGGTGAATATTTACCCAGATCAAATCTGCCAAGTCCTTCCAAAGGAAGGACATCATGGGAACACTTGTCTGGTATTTAGCCAGAAATGGTTGAAATGCTTGTGATAGGGCCATGAAAAAATGTAGTTTGGCCAGAAGAAGGGGATCCATTCGGGCTTCACAAATGCAGTCAAAAGAAGATGTCCTTGGGTTTTTCACGGTTTTCTTCACCAAGTCCACATATTTCACGATAGAGGGCCAGACTTCCAATGCTTGTTCAACAGCTGGCAAATTTTCGAGCCACCGATGGCCACAGAGAGGTAGAGGGAATCTTGCGGATGATGTTGCAGCTGTGAAGTCCTCTCTTCTGACTGGTGCAGAGTGGAAAAGAAAATGTAGTGCTTTGAGCACTTTCTCCACCATCCACAACTGAAAACCAGTCTTGAATGAGTTGTGAATGGCATGTAGGCCACAACTTCCTACAAGTACTAACTGTGTCCCAGCAAATTGCTCACCACAGTGTGAATGTCATCATTGGATGTACAGGAGTGATGTCGGCTAACCGTTTGCAAAGCCCACAGCACTATAGCTTTCAGTGTGTCGGTTGAGGAGAATGTACTGCAGGCATTGCTTGTCGTGGGATCCGGAGACACTGCCAAAGCAGGTGTAGGCCTATCTGTAGAGGTTGTACTTGCAGGACTGGCAAACAACTGAATTGGGACAGTTGTTGTCCCACTTTCGACAAAACACTTGTGCTTCTCTCCCCTGATATGTGATCGACTCAACGCTTTAGAGCCCATTGTTGCCAGTTTCATGACTTTTTTACAAAGGTCGCATCGTGCTTCGTAGACATTAGTCGTCTTTTTCAACCAGCCACAGTACTTTTTTTTAAGCATTGGCATTCATAACAATTAATAACTAATTAATATTGTATTATTTAATCAAATCATACATAACTTTTTCCTGTTACTGCTAGATTTTTAATTTCTTTTTTTATGATGTTAGACTTTACTTACTAGTTGTAACTAAAACAAAAATATTATTGCAATTCTGAATTAATTAACGTGTTGCGTTAATTAATTATTGTAAGTATTAAATATCTCAGAAACTAGAGCCAATCTGACAAAACCAAAGTCATATTCTTAATCAGCACCATAAACTTAATATAAAACTGTTCAGACATTGTTGGCACCAAAATCACTGTATATCAGTGTTATTACCCCCAGACAGCACAATAATAGCAGTATAATCTGGCATTATATTTAATATGTCAATAATTCTTGTGCACTGCTTTCTTAATTTGCCCAGAAGTTCACATCCAAATGTATGAGTATGATACAGTTATTTATACACATGCCAAAACTATAGAACAAGCTGCATCAAAACTTGCTGCGGCTTTAAATAAAGTATCAGAATGGTTGATGTATAATTGTCTTACTCTTAATGTGAGTAAAACAGTAGCCATGTGTTTCTCCATTAAGAAGTGTGACACAAAACAACAACCCAATATCATTGTTAAGGGGGATGTAATAAATACTGTGGATAATGTTAAGTTTCTGGGTGTAATTATTGATTCCATTTTAACTTTTAAAAAGCACATAAAAAAGATATGCAAATGTGACAGAGCTAGTTTAGCTAATTTTAGGTATATTAGACACCAATTATCACTTCCTGCTGCTAAATTGTTTTTACATCCCATGATTCTTATTGCTCTACAAGTTGAGCACAGGCAGGTGTGACTGCCTTCCAACCCTTAGGCACTCGCTATAAACAGGCTATAAAAGTTTTGGATAAAAAAAACAAGAAATTATCATTATTGTGCCATCATAACAAAATACAACTTATTGACTTTTGAAAGTTTCATTTGTTTTCCTGACATGTGCTTGATGTATAAACTTGTTCATGACCTTGCACTGCCACCTCTCAAGCAATGTATAGTATTTTGCAGAGATAAATTAAGAGTCTCTAGGTCCTCAATGAGAGGTGATTGTTATGTGAGTTTCAGGAAAACCTCTTTTGGCCAGTCGGCTTATTGTGTTAGTGTAGTACAGAAATGGAATTCAATTCCAGTTCATATTAGAAACAAGTTTCAGCCAGTTTAAAATATCTTTGAAGACATGGTTGAAGGCTAATCAAAGATGTGATCATTAACCCATTAATCATTTTTTAAGGTGATATGTGTTGTTTTATATGCTGTCATATGTATTGATAGTATAGTGTTCTTGTCATATAGTAGTGTCTTTGTGTAGACGTAGTCCTGTGTTATTGTTTATAATGTTAAGTGAGATGATGTTTTGGTTATTATATGTTTCTGTTACATGTTGTGTTGTTTTAGTATGATGTTCCTGCCCAGGGACCACAGATGTAAATTAGCTGTATAGCCAACTCTGGTATAGGATTTGTTCTGTACATGGCCCGTGTTAAATAAACTAAACTAATAATAAAATATAAGAAGAAGTTCCGTTAGACGAAGACCAAATATTTTACGATCCTCCACAGATGTTACAATATGGTCAAGAAACTAAGAAATTGCCCCAGGTGGATACAATAAATTTACTGATATTCTATCTATCTAGCTGCTTATACCATTAAGAGAAGATATGAGACTGATAATCTCTTCGCAGAAATTCATGAAAAGTTCTTTCAATAATGCAAAACTGGTTTCGTTTACATTAAAACGGACATGGACAGTGTTGCCAGTTTCGGTCAGCTGGCTGTCGTAAGACAAGTCTGCACACGTGCAGATACATTTACATGTATGTAATCGTTTTATTACCTTGTGAATAGTATGTGGGGTTTGCAAACTACCCCAACGCTTTTGATGCAGCTAATTTTAGGTTTATAATGTAATAATACAGATTTGACGTAAGATTTCTTGCGTGCGTCAGAAAGCGTGAATGCTGGCAGCGCGGTATGGAGGTGGGGTAACGCCGTTCGGCCCTCTTCTATGGGATCTGAATAATACAGGGAGTTTGTAATCCATTCAAACGCAGCAATGAGAAAGTAGCTCTGCATCGCATCCAAGGGAATAAACGCTTTAAACTAACGAGGGGTAAAATCACTTGGGGGATCTGTCTGTTGGACGTTTCAGAGGACTGACTAAGTCGGTGAAAAGATGAAAGTGCGTCGAGTCAGACCAGCCCACAAATAAAACCAAACAGAAAGGTAATATTGTGAAATAAGTTCTTTCTAAACTTGATCTAAGGATAACAAAATGTTAGAGAGCACCAATTAATTTCACGGGAGGCTTAATTTCACTTGCATGTAAAAAAGACTAAGTGAATTATCATAGTTATCACTATACCGTGAAAGCCATGATTTACTAACGTGTTTTTTTTTTGCATGATCACAGGTGCAATAATAAACTTGTTTTAAATTCGATTAAACGTAAACAATTTTCATTTTTAAAGTATACGAATACGTAGGCCTATTAACAATAATGACTGTCAATCTGTTTGTGTAAGACACGTTAAGTACGAAATTCCAATGCAACATAATGGGCAATGGGCAATTTAGAGACGCCAATTAGCTCAACTGCATGTCTTTTGACTGTGACCGAGGTAGCCTACCCTGAATAACAAAGAAGACTTCACCAACTGGGCTGTTACTATATTTTAAAATTTATATTTTATTCTTATTTTTAAAATATGTTCTGTGTTACTGTTGTCTTTGAATGTATGCGCGGATACTGCCAAGACAAATTCGTAGTACATGCAGGTATACCTGGCCAATAAAATGGAAAAGCAAATCCTGAGAGCAAAGGCTAGATTAGAACTTAGTTCTGGTGGTATATGGCTAAAGCACAACGTACTGAGGCACTGTGCAATCTTTGGCCACTCTATCACAATTTCTCGTCTTGTGTTTGCAGCTGCTTAAGCCTCAGGTGGAGAGGCATCGAAGGGAGAGAATAAATCGAAGTCTGGAGAGTCTGAAAGCGCTCCTTCTGCGGGAGCCGTGGCAGCAGGTGACGTTGTCATCCTCCTCCCATCTTCCCCACTCGCAGACGTCTCAAAGTTTACACACGGGACATAAAATATGAATGACTCATTTATGTATCTCTAATAGGAAACGATATGCGGTCAAATGGAAAAAGCTGAAGTACTGAAGTACTTTCTGCGGAGCTCAGTCGACAGGGAGACAAATGGGCACTTTCAGAATGGGTTCTCAGCTTGCCTACAGCGAGCTTCACAGTTCTTATAGAACGAAGATGCTCGCCACCTTCTACAATCGTCTTTCGCATACCCCAACCTGGGATAAGCCGCCGTTAATGGCAGGTCAGTCGTACCTACAGGCATCGTCTTCTCCTCGAAGGAATTACCATACTGTCTATTACAGAAGATTGCTAGTACAGGCACATCGCAGAGTTCTTCAAGCCCAGCGAGGTGTTGCCTCATCATCCCATGCCTCTCTATCCACACGTAACCTGTCTCTGTGGAGACCATGGCCCTAAGGGCCTCCCTGCAGAACAATACACATTTTGATTTTTAATTATCTATGAACCATCTGAAAAATATCAGAAAAAAATCAATTAAAATGATTATATTGTATCATCTGTGTCATGATCTGTCTCTGTCAGTCCTGTTGTGTTCCTGTTTGGCCAGCAGAGGCCTCTGCAGGCCATCCCGTTTAACCCCTAGTCATTTTCACCTGTTCCCAGTTACATGCCATTCCTAGTGTTTGGTTTGTTAATGACTCGCACCTGTCCCTCGTCTGCTCCTCAGGATCCATGTATATATAAACCTACTTGTGTTCTGTTTTTAGTGTTAGCACTGCATGTCTGTTCTCTGTAGTGGTTAGTTAATGGTTACTGCTGTTATCTTATCCAAACTACAGTACATCCCTGTTTTAGGTTTGCCCTTAACCCTCCTGGGGGGTATTTCACAAAGTGGGTTTAGTGAAAACTTGGAGTTAGTTGTGTGTGAGTTAAGGGAAACTCGGAGTTTTCGGTTTCAAAAAGCCAGTTGAGCCCAACTCTGAGTCAGTTACCGTGGTAACATACCCTCTGAAGCTAACCTGCTCGCTGGCAGGTTTAGTCCCTGTAACTCTGAGTTTCTCCTCTTTAAATGAACCATCAGATTGATGCAGGTATTTTCTCAGACATGGCGTGTCCTTTTCTCGAAAGACTGGTCGACATCGAAGCACAAATTATCCGCAGGAATCTCCGTCGGGAGAGGGTGATCAGACCTCGTTTAGATATTTTATCATTTACAGATGATTTTCTGTTAGAGCGTTACCGTTTTTCATCACAGATAATCATTTATCTCAACAATATTCTTAGACCTCATTTTGCTCGTCAAACACACCGTGGACATCCTCTCAGTTCCGAGCAAATTCTTTGTACAGCAGTTCGCTTTTTTGCTAATGGCAGCTTTCTGTACAATATTGGTGACGCTCAACATGTTTCTAAGGCAACCGTCTGTCGGTGTATCAGACAGGTTACTCTTGCGCTTAAACGTTTTCTCTACACGTTTGTGGCATTTCCTGGTCACAGATGTAGTAGAATAATCAAGGAACAATTCCACAGAATTGCAGGTATGAAGTAATAGCCTCATATATTTAGTAATAAGCTTCTAGATTTGAAGCAATACACAATTGTAGGTTAAGACTAGATTAAATACAGTTACGCTTTTTGCATTGTTACACCATACAAAACTAGAAACTGACTGTAGTACCTGTTCAAATTAAGTCGGCTTATGCCTTCTTTGTTAGGATTTCCAGCTGTGATTGGTTGCATAGATGGCACACATATTCCCATTGAGGCTCCTTCAGTAAATGAAGGAGACTATGTGAATAGAAAGTCATTCCACAGTATTCATGTGCAGGTAGGTGAGTTTCTAGCTTTTAGTAGTTTACTGCATTGAATTATTGGCCTACTTTACAGTACATCTACAGTAACTAATCACTGTTCTGCATTGTGAAGATTATATGTGATGCAGCCTATGTCATCAGCAACGTGGAGGCAAAGTGGCCTGGGTCTGTGCATGATGCCAGAATGTTCCGTGAATGCACACTTAGTGCTAGACTTGCTCGTGGTGAGTGTATACAGTGCAGCTATATTATAATCTTTAAGCAATATCTTGTTCCCTCATATTGCACCTTAACATGTAAACTGTTTACTCATTATTGTAGGGGAGTTCAGTGGTTACCTACTCGGTGACAGGGGGTACCCATGCCAGCCCTATCTGCTGACCCCATACCCTGATCCTGAGCCTGGCCCACAGCAAAGATATAACTTGGCTCACAGCAGGACCCGGGCAAGAATAGAGATGGCCCTGGGCATACTGAAGGCCCATTTCCAGTGCCTTCGTGGGCTCCGTGGCACCCCAGAAAGGGCCTGTGATATCATCATTGCATGCGTAGTCCTGCACAATATTGCAGTGATGAGAAGAGAAACCTGGGTTGCTGCCCCAGAGGTTGACCCTGATAACAACCCTGACATTCCTGTTGATGCAACAGATGGACAAGCTGTTCGAAACGCAATATGTTCTAATCATTTCCAGTAAATAAGTTGCAAATAAAAACAAATGACAATCATTTTATGAACTCTTCTTTATTTCCTGTAATTGATTATGCAAAACAGTATTTTAATATTTTGTTTTGAAAGACAGTTAACGATCCATCAACTTGTGCCATTACCCACCTTTAACTGATGTTCCAATATTTGTATTTCTGTTTGGGTTTTCTGCATTTTTTGTTTAATGTGTTCCATTTCCAGATCCGATTTTTCAATTTGTTTCTCAAGGTATATTTTGTACAACTGCTTTACAGGGAGCTATTAGAATACGCAGAAATGTTACATCTTGGCAGTATTGCACTGTGAAAATTGTACCACTATAAATATAACTTTAATGAGAAGAATGATTCTTATTCCAATTTTTCAATAACTGGCAGGCAAATACTGAAGCATCTTACAGAGGTAAGCTGTGCTGTGGCTGTGGCTGCAGTCGTCTCAGCCTGGCGATTTTCTGGATTGCTCTGTGAAGAAAGGATAAATGTTTTAAAATGGTGCATCACTTACATGACGTATTAGTTAGAAAGTGTATACCATAGGCTGATCTACATCTTCCCTCCCTGTGACAGCTGAGAAGGTGAATATTATCTCTTACTTGCATACACCAATAATGAAAGACATGGTATGAAAAATCTCGAGAAGAGTATGTACCATTTCATGGGTGTCTGGCGGTTCCACAACAAAGATTACTCCATCAGTAACTGCAAGACAATGTGGATTACAGGCAATTCATCAACAGAGACCTGCACATTTTGAATATAACTTTTACAACAGTGGGCAGTCTTTCAAATATTGCAGTCTTTCAACAGTATGTACATGAAGTAATGACATCTATCAAATTATACTCATCTATAACTTTAAATAAATTACGATCGGTTCGAATATGATGGGTTCGATGAGTTTAATGGATGGCCATCGCTGAGCCAACACTGGACAAATGCACATACGTCATTCATGAGAATGACTTACTTCTTATGTAAGAACTTCTGTCCTGGGGCATGGCTGTATTGGAGGAGCTTCCTCCAGGGATGCCATCAGCCATGGGCCGGCCAGTGTTTTGGCTGAGAGCCATCTCTTCAGCCTCTGTGAGTGGTGATGGCGGTGGACCCCCACCTGTTTTTCGGGCCTCTGCCTTTTTCCTATTGGCCAATATGTAGGTAAAGTGTAAACATACGCACCCAAGCCCACATTTAGAACCTTGTAAAAAGATTTAAACAATATTACATGCTGCCAGATTTAAGATGAAACTGTAGCTTTTGTGTCTTATAGACAAGCAAAGCCTCCCAATGGTCCAGTGCTTACCTGTTTGTACTATATTTTTATACTTCATCTTTATTTGCTGCCAAGTGCGCTTTATGCCTGCTAGGTTACAACTGTAAAAACGAAACTAAATTAGAGAGACTATACAAAAACTAGTAATATTTCTTAAATATACATCAATCGACATCGTTCTTATCAATACTTACGCATTCACTCGGTCAGCTATTTTCTGCCACGCTTGTTCCCGTTCTTTCGTGGCAGTAACTGTGTTTCCTTTTTTTGATATGGCATGCTCATATTCAGCATAAATAGTTCAAGCTCCACTGGTGTGAAATTGGAAGTGCGAGATTTGTTTCCCTGTGTTGCCATGGTGAATAATTTTCTCTGGATGCCATTGATAGGGCCTTTTCATGTGCTTGTGCACGTGCGACAATCAGGGTTAATTGAACTCAGAATTATCACCTGTTCTGAAACCAAAAACTCGGAGTTTGACAGCTCAGAGTTAATCAACTCAGAGTTCAAGTTTAAACCCAGAGTTTGCTAACCCCACTTCGTGAAATACCCCCCCTGGTTATTACTTCCTACCCACAGTTCCGACCCTTCGTGGTCCTTTTTGTTTCTGTTTGAATGTATTTCGTTGTGTTTTGTTACTTCAATAAAACCCCTTCCTCCTGTGCAAGGCTGCGCATGGATGGATGTCACTCCTTCCCTGCTTCCCTTCGTGACAATGAGTTGTCCATCAATATGTTATGAAGGAAAGAAATTTTAGCCATGATCTAATTAGCACCAAGTAGTGAATTATTTTTTTTTAAATTCTCTTCCTGCGTATTTCTCATTTTTGCTTTTAAGTTAATGGTAAAGTTTTTGATGAATTAATTTCGCATCTGATTGGGGATGACTCATTTAAAGATGTTGAATAATTAATTTAAGTAAATTATTAGCTGTATTTTGTTTTAATGAATACACAAATTATCCAGTAGTTTTTGGTGACTCTTTACTTGAAGCTGTCATCTAATGCATTATAGATACCTTTATAATGCATTTTAATGGTTGGTATAAGGATAAAGCATTGCAACATCTTCTACTGCCAGTCAGAAAGCATTGCATCGATAGAAAGTGTTACCTTTTTTAACTTAGGTAATTAAACTTCAGTGAATGTCCCTGTGTAGTATATTCTGTGGGTGTCACTAGATCCCTTTTACGGTGGCACATACCCCAGTATTTATGGGCTGTGCCCCAGTAAAATCTCATGTTCAGCCTGCAAAAATCATATGGCGGGATGGGGGGCCTGTGCCCCAATAGAGCTTTATGTCTCGCAACGCCGCTGGTATATTCAGTTGCATGATCTCAATTGTATGACACATTTAATTAATATCACAATCAAGCCTAATTAATCGGCTAATGGGATCTAAACCCAGGACCAGGACACTCCATATTATTAGACAAGGAATGTTTGTCCACATCATGAATTATTCTGATTACTTGTGTGGAAGTACCAAACGCATTGTCTGATCCTGTCAGTATATAAAAATATAACGAAGATCCATCCATCTTCCAACCAATTATTCTGGTCAAGGATGCAAGGGGAGCTGGAGCCTGTCCCAGCCTGGAGGAGTTCACCTCTGACAGGACGCCAATCCTGCACAGGGCACACACACTATGGACAATCTGACAAGACCAGTTCCCCTAACTGCACCTTTTTGGACTATGGGAGGACGCTGGAGTACATGGAGGAAGCCCATCCCAACACTGGGAGACCACAGAATAGAATAGCTTTACTCATTCCCATGGGGAAATTGTGTTTTCCCGTGTCCTCTATGAAACATATGGGTACATACACTATATTGCCAAAAGTATTGGGACACCTGCCTTTACACACACATGAACTTTAATGACGTCCCATTCTTAATACACAGGCTTTAATATGGAGTTGGCCCACCCTTTGCAGCCATAACAGCTTCAGCTCTTCTGGGAAGGCTGTCCACAAGGTTAAGGAGTGTGTTTATGGGAATTTTTGACCATTCTTCCAGGAGAGCATTTGTGAGATCAGGCACTGATGTTGGATGAGAAGGCCTGGCTCACAGTTTCCGCTCTAATTCATCCCAATGGTGTTCTGTCGGGTTGATGTCAGAGCTTTGTGCAGGCCAGTCAAGTTCCTCCACACCAGACTCACTCATCCATGTACTTATGGACCTTGCTTTGTGCACTGGTGCGCAGTCTTGTTAGAACAGGAAGGGGGCATCCCCAAATATGAAATTGCCCAAAATGGCTTTGAATGCCACAGCATTAAGAGTTCCTTTCACTGGAACTAAGGGGACTAAGGGGTCACCCCTGAAAAACAACCCCACACCATAATCCCCCCTCCACCAAACTTTACACTTGGCACAATGCAGTCAGGCAAGTACCGTTCTCCTGGCAACTGCCAAACCCACAGTCATCCATCTGATTGCCAGAAAGAGAAATGTTATTCGTAACTCCAGAGAAGACGTCTCCACGTCTCTAGAGTCCAGTGGCGGTGTGCTTTACACCACTGCATCTGACGCTTTGCATTGCACTTGGTGATGTACGGCTTGGATGTTGCTGCTAGGCCATGGAATCCCATTCCATGAAGTTCTCTACGCACTGTTCTTGAGCTAATCTGAAGGCCACACGAAGTTTGGAGGTCTGTAGCTATTGACTCTGCAGACGGTTGGCAGCTTCTGCACACTGTGCGCCTCAGCATGCATTGTCCCCGCTCTGTGATTTTACATGGCTACCACTTCATGGCTGAATTGTTGTTGTTCCAAATTGCTTCCACTTTGTTCTAGTACTACTATCAGTTGACCGTGGAATATTTAGCGAGGAAATTTCACCGAAAGGGTGGCATCCTATCACGGTACCACGCTTGAATTCTCCGAGCTCCTGAGAGCGACCCATTCTTTCGCAAATGTTTGTAGAAGCAGTCTGCATGCCTTGGTGCTTGGAGTGATTGGAGCACCTGAATTCAATGATTTGGAGGGGTGTCCCAATACTTTTGGCAATATAGTGTAGATAGGTTAGAGCAAATCTGCGGGTCACAGTGCAGAGTCAGACAGGATCCAATCAGGGTTAAGGACCTTGTTCAAGAACCCAATGGTGGCACCACTCTGCCAGCCAAAGGACTTAAGCCCATGACCATCTGAGCATGAGTATACAGCTTTAACCAGCAGAGCCACACACAGCCCAGAGTAAGAGCACACAATCTCGGCCCAGTGGGGAACTGAACCTCAGTCTACTGCATGGTATTCATGGATATTAATTTTTACACCAGGGTTACCCAATTCTGGTTCTGGGGGGCCAGGATCCAACTCAATTTGCAGATTTCCCTGCTCAAACACATCTGAGTCAGCTAATTACCAGGTTCAGTAGGTATATCTCAGCAGGGAAATCTGCTTTATACGAACAAGGGCAGCATACAAAAGATCAAAGAAATGCAGAGATGGGGGTAAATATTCAATTCTAGGTGCTGGTAGTTCTAGCATTTTCCAACCACTTATCCTTAACGGGGGGAGTCTGGATCACACACTCACACGCTGTGGGAAATGTAGAGATGCAAATTAGTCAGATAGCATGGACTGAGCAGGAAACTCATCACATGAGGAGCACATGCAAACTCCACATACACAAAAACACATTTTCACAACTCAGAATATAAACCAGATTTAAGGGGGCTTCTTATAGTTTTGTTGATGACACTATAATTTTCTCTCCATTTATCTGCATAAGCCGTTTATTGTTTCTACTTTTTTCACCGCAAGCTGTGCCGCGTGTAACAAAGGGAGAGACAGACCTTCTAGTGTAGGTAACCAAAAATGTACAGGTGCCCATCCTACCCCACATCAATCATTTTCAGTCTCTATGAACAACAGAGTCACAATTGGTAAAGAGAGCACCGTAAATCAGACATAAGCAAAGCCCTGGGCTTCAACATTAAAAGAACAGTGTCAGCCTGAATGATGGTACCAATTATGATTCTTCAGCCTATTGTACTCTTAACTGAATTTGCTCAGCACTATGACAAAATTAGACATGAGTCAAATGCCCCAGCATAGAATTGCATTAAATATAAACACAGGAAACTGAGTCAGCCCCACAATAAGTGAAAAGGGAAACGTTAAAGTCAAATATCTACATCTAGAGGCCATTTGTAGTAACTGCAAGACATTTAGGAGATGGTAGTGTATCGTGAGGTAAAAGATAGCAGACTAGTTCAGATCTAGCCTGGATAGATTCCACAAAAATAATTAGATAAAACAAACAAATAATGTATTATATGCATATATGCATCTTCTAACTGTTAATTCTGGTCAGGGTCACCTGGAACTTGCCACAAAGGATGTCAGTTTATTACAGGGCACATGCAATTTTTTGATACTCGTTAGTTTCACTTTATGCCTTTGGACTGTGGGAGGAAACTCACGGACACACAGACTGGAGACAGAATTCAAACCCGCAATCCTGGAGGTGTGAGGTAATAGTGCGACACACCAAGGCCCTTAACAACCACATGTGCACATACTGAATGTAATTTCGTTGCCAGGTAATAATATTTCACAGTAGACATTTCAGTCCAGAAAGCCGTGATTTATTACACAGTAAATATAGAAAGGGAGATGTAATTTATGGAGATTGGCAACACACACACACACACACACACACACACACACACACACACACACACACACACACAC